TTCTTGAAGCCATCGCTTCAACGCTTTCGTTTTCACATAAGAACAATAGCAGTGGCCCGGCCGCTGCGGTTTTCTCTCGCTTTCTGAATGTTTTCCGAGTGTTCCGTGGAGGTTCCGGGCCGTGGCGAAATGAAGCCGCAGGGCTGACAGAAGCACAGCAGCGCTGCTGTAGCGGCATTCCAAATTCAAAGCGAGCGGCTTTGAGTCTTTACCGACGGGATGCCGAAAGAGTCCAGTTTGTTCTCAAGGGCAGGCTTCGGCGTTCGAGGCTTTCCGAGTTGTTTCGTGTTTCGTGTTCCACGACCCGGGTGCAACTTAGACTCTTCACTTCAGGGGTGTCAGAGTGCCTTGAATGCATTCACCTGACACAGAGCCTTCCTCGTATGTTTTAGCCTTCATACTTGCAGGGCCCCTTTCCGGGCACTTACCGTTTCGTAACATGTGGTCACATGGATCCGAACCCCAACCCTGAGGCCCCAAACTCGGATCATCATAATTATAGGGGCTTCGGTAGGGAGTAGTATTCGATCATATAGGGGCTTCTGTGGGGAATAGTATTATTCTCACTATTCCTTTAGGGCTTGGGTTTTGGGGTCAGGCCGCAGTCTTAAATTTCACAAGCCGCTCCCTTGCCTCCGCGTTCTTCGACGTTCCCTGCGGCGGGTCTTTGGGGGGTGCCCCTTCGGCACCAACTCCGACGGCCGCTGGCTGATTCCGTAAACACGAATGCACACATCCAAGGTAGACATAGCCAGTATATATATATATATACACATACGCAACCATATATATATATATAGATAGATATACGCATATATATATATATACATATATATATATATACATATATATATATACATATATATATATATACATACATACATACATACATACATATAAACATTAACACGTACATATCTATATCTACACACATCTAAACATATGCAGAAAAGCGTGGAACTTTAGGGGAATAGGTCGGCGGATAGATAGATAGATCGACAGATAGATGGATAGATACATAGGTTTATAGATGGATAGATTAGATTAGGTTAGATTAGCATTGGTTAGGTCAGGTTAGGTTAGATAGATAGATAGATAGATAGATAGATAGCACACACATACATGCACATGCTCATACATAAACTTACCGATCATTTTATGTGCTGTAAAAAAATCTGCATAGTAGATTGCAGTGTATAATCCTCAAATCCTCTGTCAGCCGATTCGTGGCATTCGTCATGCAGCCATACATACCTAGACAAACCTGAGCCCGCAAACCTTTTTCCCTTCCTTAACCCTGAAGGTGCCCCTGGCCCATGCTGAAATCTCCTCTCATCAAATTAAGAGCCCTCGCCTGAAATTCAGATGTTGCCCAGTCGATACATTGTCGCTCCTGCCAAGCTGCAAATGGACCTTGGCAGACCAGCGAAGAAGAAACATTGGAGATTCCCTACTCCGCCAGTTGAACATGTGTAGCAGACCTGGCCACAAACTACAATCCCCAACCCAAGCCGAGAAAGCATTTCTTCAATCTTAGTTCAATCGAGCTGTCGTAAGACAGACCTCGTGCAGTGACAGTGGCAACTCATGAAAGGCTCCGAAAAGGTCCAGGTATTGCTAGGTCTAGGCAAAGTGTTCAACAAGTTTCTGAGAAGAGCGGTTCACGTATTGGTGATCTCGACAGTCACTTTTGGGGGGATCTTGCTCCTGCCCTGGCTCTTGCTTTGCTTGTTTTGGCTCCTGCTTCGGCTCTGGCTGGTGCTCTTGCTCCTGCTTCCGCCGGAGCGGAGGACGGACAATTATTTCGTTGTTTCATATAAATATATAAATAAACGAATATGAATAAACCATAAAAATCAATAAACAATAAATCAAAACATAATACATATATATATATACATACAATTAGTTGATAAGCAGTTATATATATATATATATACACCTCTCTCTCTCTCTTACACTTTTGGTGTGTATATATTTTTTTTGCTGACTATATACTTATATATATATATATAGATAGAGAGAGACAAAGCATATATGTATCGTTTTTACCACATAGTATATACCGCGGCAGACGCGACAACCTACATAGTAAATATCATGTAACGTATATGTATATATATATATATATACACATACATACACATGTTCTTTACCTGCTATACATACCTTTCACATATCGAATACCACGCTATATATACCATATGTGCAGTACACATACCTACATGTGACCTTTGCCGCTCGCTAGTGCCGCTCGAGTGTTCCTCATGATCATGGGCCTGCATGTGCTTGGTACTCAGGTTTTGTTGCTACTCGTCGAAACGCCTTGTGTTTCTGCGCTCGATGGCGTCGGATTCATTCATTGGACCTCCTTTCGGAATCAGCTTCTCTTCGTAGTTCGGCTGGCCTGGGCCCCTGGAATTCCGAGATTTGTAAGCATATGGGGCGACCACTTTCAGGTGTTTCTACAAGAAGGCGTCTGCAGCTGATACCTTCGGTTTTCAGGAAATTGCAACATCTCTTAACCCCTCAAGTCCTAAACACCGCACAACTTGTAAACCCGAGGATTAAAACCCCAAAGACCCAAACCCTGAACCCTAAACCGTAAACTTAAACCCAAGCCTAGGCTTGAACCTAAACTTTGGAACCCCTAGCCTCAACCCAGAGTTCAGGGCTCTAGCGTTCAGCTCTTTGGGAGGAGCTCGGGAGCTTTGAAGGGCGAGCTCTTACCCTGAAGCGTTTGGGCATAATATAGTTGAATATACTTTAGTTACTATAATGTTTAGTTGCTATAATGTTTAATGTATTAATCATAATTTCATATTAGGCATTTACATGTGTATAAGTTTATCTAGATGTCAGCCTCCTCTTTGTTCAAGATTTGGAGGTTTCTGCCTTTGCATAGGCTTACCATCGTGAGCCTTTGTGTCTTGGGGCGTCGGAGTGTTCCTGCCGAGACCCTAAACCTTGAAAGGGGCGATCAAAATTAGGCCCAGCAAAACCCTAAACCCTAAACCCTAAACCCTAGCATGAAGCTCTAAAAGGGAAACCATACAGGAGCCCAGCTTGAGACTCCTAGCATCGGTGTTGAGACAAGCTCGGGCCGACGTAGCCTGCAGCGATTGACGGTACACGGAAGCCGTCGCAGAGCGACGGGCTCCAAGGGCCTCTCAGCCATGTCAGGGTTTCAGAAAGGACCCCTGCTGGTTTTACAGGGTTGCTTATATAGGTTTTAGGTATGTCTCCAAGGCTGATGGGTATGTAGTTGTGAGCTGGTTGTAGGTACGTTTGTTGCATTATGCGTTAAAGTATGCACGCTTACCTCATCACCCTGCCTGCCACGGCCCCTAAACCCTAGTCGCACCAGTCAACTTAGTGTCCATTCTGAGAGGCCTTTGGCTGGGTGCCATGAATGCTGCATGTACTTGCGTCCCAGCTGCGTCGTTTGAGCCACCGAACCTGTCTCCTCGTATCCCCCCTGCATACGCGAATTGGTAGAATATTTTGCGTATAACCTTCTGCATTCGAGAGTTTAGCGAACCCCAGCTACTATTAAACCTTTGCAGGCCCATAGTCCTCATCATATTCTGAGGCGAGTATCCGCACCTGTGCTGCAGCTAGCAAGATTGCCAGACCAGAAGCATGCATAGGCACATGCAGCACTTTGATAATTTATATGTGGGGGCACATGGATGCGAACCATAGGCCAGACTATACCCAGCCCATGGCGGAAAGCAGTTGACAGGAGCTCAGTAGCTGCGCCTTGAAAGCAAATCGACAGCTTCCAGTGGCCGGCAGAAATTTTCCGGGGCCCGGCAGTCTGAGATTCCCCGGCCCCGTGATGGTAGCGACCCTCGGGAGGTCGCAGACATGGCCGGGACGGAGGCTGCAGGTCACAAGACTCTTACACAGAAGGATACGACCTTTTTTTGAGGTTCACTTGGTATGTACTCAAACGAACAAACAAACATGTAAATGCGTCCATGCGTACATCATGCATGCATGCATGAACGCATACACAGGCACGTGACGTGTATGTGTGAATGACTTCGAAAGGAAGGGTTCTTGCTGTCTTCAGGTTCAGCGTGGGTTTGTCTCGTTCGCGGTCGCCTCGACGCAGTATATGTTCAGGCTTCCGGGTTTGAAGTTCTGTGGGCCCCATGATTTGTGGTGCAGATGGACTTCTGAGATTTGTGAGAAGTCATAATCGCGCAAGTAGACCGCACCCACCGTCCAGAGCCATGGCAAGACGGGCAAGGCACAGCGCGAGAAAAGTCGAAGGCTTCTGATTCTGGATGTCCAGGTGAATCCGGGCTTTGACGTTAGTTCCGAGATGCTTCCGTTATAACCTTTCTGGAAAGAGAGAGCGGGGAAACAATGAGAGCGGAGAAATATATATTTTTATATAGTGTATGTATGTATGTATGTATGTATGTATGTATGTATGTATGTATGTATGTATAGAGACAGAGACAGAGACAGACAGCCTCACCGACCGACCGACAGGCAGACAGACATACACGGACTTAAGACTTGAAACTGAGAAGGACAAACGTCAAGGGAAGTCGGTGGTTCACTTCCTAACATATTGCTTCCATCGTTTCTGGTTGTGATGGGTGCATGAAGCCCCTGCTCGGAACTCTTAAGGCTCGTTGCCCCGACCCCGAAACTGCAAAGGGCTCCATGGGCGGGACAGGGTTTAGGGTCTAAGGTGTAGGGGTCGAAGTTTACGATTTAGGAAATTTAGGGGTTTGGCACCTCATGTTGGATTTCGGAACTCTGCTTTGGGCTTCCTCACTCACAGGGGGTTTCGTGTTTTTTTTTTATAAAGCTTGGGACGCCAGGTTGGAGTTTCGGGCCTCCGGTGACTTGGGGTGTTGAGTCTAAGCTTTACTGAGGCTTCGGGTTCAGGGTTAAACCCTAAACCCTAAACCCCTAAATATAGCTAATTCACTGAACCCTATCCCAAATTGGCCGTCTGGCTTTTCGGCCTCGGGCAGGCAAGCTGCCTCGTGGTGCAAGGTGTGTGAGACTCGGGTGCCGGTGTCTGGAGGCTTTGGGGTTTGGGGGTCAGGGGACTTCGCGGTATGCCGGGAAGGTGTCGGCTTTCGGGATAGGTTCAGGGCTTTGGTTTCGGGGCCGCCGCGGCTTCGGGGGGACTTGGAGTCCGAATCCCTGAAGGACGAGTTGTGCTTGAAGGTGGCTTGAAGCTGTTGGATTCAAGCTCGAGAGATTTCTCACACAAGTTTCGGGCTCCGGGTGGCTTAGAGGTCCGACATTGCCAGGTTCTGCAGCACTTCTTCACACCTCCTGGAACGAGTCCCTGACTGTTTCGGGATGTCTCGGGGTTCTTGAACGGCTTGCTGGCTTGTCTTTACAGCGTCTTTGCATCATTATGTATTGGTTCTTGGGTTTGTTGGCATGCCGTACCAATCTCTGAACCCTCGTTGGCGGCCAAGGTAGGTGGGCACATTGACGTCTCGGATGTGCGGCTGGCGCGTTTTCAGTTGCGGTGTGTTCTTTAAGGGTATACTATACATTGCCGTGGAGTTCTAGGCCTCGCTATTGAATCTTGTGAAAGGCGTCCGACCTTCAACCCGCCACCAGTCGCCTGGTGATCATCGGCCGCGTGTCGGCCACGACCTTACGATCACTAGGACCTCTTCGATTGAGAGAAAACAAAGAGAGGAGCAGAAGCAGTGCCGTGCCGAAACTCGGTTACTAGTAGATACTAGTAGCAGGGTAGGTAGATATAGGGTTTGAAAATTGCGCCAAATGCAGCTACCCGGGTTACCCTCGCAGCTTAACTTCCCATGAGCTTCGAAGGCCCGGGCCCGACATCACCGCAAAGCTCTGAGACTCCAAACCTCAGCTCCGAAGCGTTTGCTTACTTGGGTGAGTGTGGAGCTGAGGACTGGGGTCTGCGCAAGGAGCTCCAAGACGGATTCCTTGCCTTTGGCCTAGTCTGAGCTTCGATGAGAACTTCCCGGGGGTTCGGTTCTCGGGTAATTACCTGGGATTGCGGGCCTGGGGGTCCATAGACCCAACATCCGATAGTGTAGGACCGAGCAGTGTTGTACATCCGTGTTGATCTAAGCTCGCCGCTCCTCACCCGTGTGCCCTTCGATGCCAAGCTTAATGCCCCAAATTCGTAGGACTCCTTCAACATCCGAAAACCTAAAGCCGAAAGCACGGAACCGTGCATGCTTTCGCTTTTAGGCGCTGGGCGCCGCGAGCGCCAAGCAGGGGCCCGGGTCAAGGGCTTTCCAGCCTCCGGATAGGTACGCTGCGAGGGTTTGGGGCTTTTGGGCTTTCCACTGACAGAGGACAGACTGACTGGAGACAGCTTTGCACACACAGCGTGCTTGGGTCTAGCTAGCGGTCTCGGCTTTGGAGTCGAACACTGCGCTGCAGCTGTGACTTTGCTTGAGTTGTGATTTGTGGTGTTGTCTAAGCAGAATGTAGCGATTTTGATTAATTCGGAAACTCCTGCCAAACGATCATAAGCACACCCTCGGGGTGTGCTACAGTTTTGAGAAGATCGTTTTGTGGTATGTGTAATCAGTGGTATGTGTAATCATGGCCCAGAATGGCTCTCGGTGGAGACATCCAAGAGGGAGTTGCTTCTATGGTGTGGTACGCTACATAACAACGTTATTAGCGCTTGATACTGCGATCTACTATCTGCTTGTTTCTTGGTCATGTTACACTTCTTTGTGGTCTTGCATTTCTTTTTTGGAGCTCCAGGCCGAAAAACCTCCAAAACAGACATAGGGTTTTCATGTTCACGCAACGAGAAGCGCTTTGCTATTTGTTCCTGGGGATGTTGCAAAACCGTCCCCCTGCCACCCCGGAGCAGTAGGTCCATCCTAGTATTGTAGAACTTGTCCAGTGTCACCAAGCTAGTGGTTATGCTGACGATCGCAAGCATTGACATTTGTTCGGAAGCTCTGAAGGAGAGGCGCACCAAGCATCCAACCGTAAGCCGGTCAACCCCAAAGCAAAGCTACAAAACCGAGCCGGTCGGAACTCCGAAGCAAGGGGAAGACAGGACGTATCTTTCGGGCTGATGTTGTCCATATAAACGGACCTACTGGGGGGAGGAGGCTCTAGAAGGAAGGACCACCGTATGCGTCTGTTGGGCTTTTCTCGGAAGTCAAAGGTTGACGAAGCTAAGACCACAAGGAGATTATTTCGGTCGCGACTGTTAGCGTGGTTCCGGGGCACGGGTTCAGAGCCGGCTGGGGTAGGAACCTGGAGATATCGGGGTTAGGTTGCTTTGGGGTTGGTGGTGCTGATGTGTCCAGGATGTCTGCGTCCAAACTGCGTGCAGAAGGTGGTTGAGGGACAAGAGGACTCTGGGATAAACTTGGGGTTCAGGAGTGACCAGATTTGCAACGCGATCTCTGGTTCTGAGTGAATCCGGCGCCGGCTGGCGAAGCTACCCAGAACCCCACGAAAGGATGAATCATGTACTCCGCCGAGGATGTAGCTCTGGAGCTCTGCGGCACACTGGCTGAAGGCTCGTTTCGGGGGCCCGGGAGGGAGTGCCAGAGTCCTCTAGTTCCAGGTCACCCTGCCAACCTTCGAACCGATAAGACTCTGCATGCATACATAAATATGTACCTACATATTATGTGTACATATATACATATGCATGTATATACATATGTATATGACTTGTGTCTGTATGTATGTATGTATGTATGTATGCATGTATGTATGTATGTATGTATGTATGTACGCAGGTAGGTAGGTATGTATGTATGTATGTATGTATGTATGAATCAGTATAGACAGATGGCCGTAGATAGATCGATCGATAGATAGATACAGATAGATAGACATATCTTTAATTCAATGAATAGAACCACATAGGTAGAAGCTAGCTAGCTAGCTGGCTGTTAGGTAGGTAGATAGGTAGATAGATAGATATGTACATCTGTACATGTATATATATATATATATATATATGGCCCCCTTGGACCCGCAAGGAACACATTTCAAGGGCAAATGGTGCTGTCTAGAGTCCGGGGACTGGAATGTTGCATCCTTACACACCGCCACTTGCAAACTTTACATTATGGCAGAGTTTAGAGTTTAATTAGGCTTCAGGGTCAGAACCCAAATCTTTGCCACAAATAATACTGCTGGCATAGATTAAGATGCCCCCTTTTTGCTTGGCAGCGGTCTCCGTGATTGCTTTGCAATCAACAACAGACTATGCCCCCCACAATCGCATCATGAAATGCATTTCCCACTGCCGTCTCTAATCTCTAATCCCGACTACACATCGACATTGCGAAAAACCTCTATCAATGATCCCCTCAGCAGATTCCCTAGTTTGACGTTTTCCACTACCGGCTGCTTTTACCTTCTATTCCTGCAAGCCTTTTAGTTGTTCTGCCGGGATACATAGAAGTACGAACGACAATGCTACTTCATCACCAGAACAAAACTTATCGTGACGCCTAACCTTAAACCCCCCAGGCGGGAAACAGTCATCAGCCCAACCCCTTCGGCCGCAGACACACCTAAACCCCTGAAGCCCCTCAGCTTTAAACCCCTCAACCCTAGACTCCTGACAAATTAGATCCTTAGATTTCAAGTCCCGACCTGGGCTTTGTCTTCTCACGCCTGCCGGAGGTGAGCTCCTGATTCGTGAGGTAACTGATGCCAGCGCAGTAGACTCTAACCTTTTAAGCGTCTTGCGGTCCAAAAAAGGAGGGTTTTGGGGTTAGCGGGTGGGTGGTTCTTCAGAGTTTGAGGGTCTGTGGGGCTTCTTTCCACTTCACTGGAGCTGTGCTGCAAGGTAAGTACGCACGAAGCGACGAAACTTGTGCTGCTCAGTCTTCGTCAAGCTAAGCACGGACACAAGCGCTGTGACATGAGCCCGATTTGGGCTGGTGGTGTCTTCGGAAACACCACCCCCACGAACGAATGCGCTACCAGTGGAAAGCATACTGTGACAAAGAGGGTTGCTTTGGCTCGGTGGAGCCTGAGTCGTCGGCAAACTCCCGCGCCGCGCCGTCTCAGTTGCAGCAGGAATAAACGGCGCAATTTTCACAAGTGGTTTCGACTCCCCGTCCCAAGCCCCGTTTGGCGCTTCTGGGCCAGATGAAAACCGGTCGTGCAGCCATTGGGAGAGCAATGCACGCCGCATGAACAAACGACGCCTTGGGATCGCAGATTGGCGTTGACGAGATCGCTCGTGGAGCACTCGGAGCAGGACCACCTCGTTCATCGCGAGGAGGATGAGATCGAGGACCTCCGGGCAGCCCGGCTGCTGCGGCACTTGCGCAGCGACGTGCGCAAACTGCTGTGGCTGCACTGTGCCGAACCACGCTGCTCAGAAGGTGGCTTTGGATTCCGCTCTGCTGCAGCAGACCGCCTCACGGCCTATGCTACCGGTCGTCCAGCAAGAGCCCCGCCGGAGCTCGGCGGCGACGCAGTGGTGTGTGATGCGAAGTGTGCGCCAAACGCTCTTGCGGTACGACTGGGGGGTTTCTTTACCCATTGCCTGTTGTGCGACGAGAATCGGAGCATCCACGCCCTTGTGTGGCCGTTTGCACAAGAGACGCGGGCAAAGGAGTTTTTCCAGTCTCTTGTTTTTCCCTTGGGAGGCAGGCCTGCAGTACCCACGGGGCCCCGTGCATGTGCTGCTGATCGTAGCTTCCGTAGCTCTGAGCACGGTCGAGGGAAAGATGGACGAGCGCACCGACATGCCTTGTTTTGAGAAGTGGAAGTACACATGGGACACATTAAGACGTGCCACAGCTTAAGAGGTTCAGTGATGGTGATGGCTCTGTGTCGTGCATACGAACACGACATTTGGGATGTGAGCTTTGGCTTTGATGGCATTGTGGCGCCTCCTGCCTGGCTATGTTCTCCAACCCTGTCCGCAGCAAAACACGGCTCGAGTTTAGGCTGTGTCTGAAACTTTCCAGAAGGCCTGGAGAAGTTTCGGATATTGGATTCTCAAAGACAGGGCAGTCGAAACATTGAAGTTCGGGCATTTGGGGCTCAACTAAAGCCTCAACCCTAAACGCCAAACCTTAATCACGCACAAACAAACCCGTTTG